GCTTTCCCTCCCCCACACAAATCAATTCCATGTCACCTACTTTCTTTTTCCTTTTGTATCTGTTGTACAGCCCTTGCACCCACCATTAGGTTTTTTAGGCAGTTAAAAAAAATCTTACTTTTAAATTCCCTGGTAACAGCTGCTTCTCTTTCAGCACACAGCAATGTTTTCACAACTTCTGTTTGTGGCAAGGATGGGGATTTTGGCTGCGTATTGCTCAGGTCAAAGCTCCCAAGAGGCTGAGCAATGGAGGCAGTACCAGGACTCTGACGGTGCTGGTTCTGATTGCTGGGGTCCCTCGTGGTAAAATTCTTTCCTGAGAGCATAAAAAGATGAAGACAACTTTGTTCTAAGAACAAACAGCATCATTTAACACTGGTGGTTTAATGGTTTAATGCACAGAGCAGTTCTGCTTTTTATTTTTCTTAAAGGTAAATGCTGAAATTTTCACTTAGCCTTACACCACCTAACACATGTAAGGGCAGACTTTCCTCTGCTCCTTTACCAGCCCAGCTGTAGCTGCTGTAAGATGATTGAGGCATTCTCTTTTTTTAAAATATATGTCTTCCTTGGCAAAATTACATTAGATGCCACGCAAATTTAACTTGAAAAGTAGCCTACTAAATATATGTGTGTTTCACTGCTTCCTTCCTTCCTTCCTTCCTTCCTTCCCTCAAGGAAAACAGAAACATACAATATCACATATGATCACAGCAAAACTATTCTCATTTGCTTTCTTGGAATCTTATTGAGCTCAGCTGCTCATTTTATGCTAGATACCTGAAGTAACACTAACATAAACCTTAGTGGTTCAGCCACTAAGAAATCATCTGGATTCCCTTGAAAACACTCTTTATTCCACACAACTAAAGGTAAGCAAGAGTTGTTCTAATCTTTACAGGTGGTTAATGGTTATTGGGGGCAGTAAGGGATCGCCAGAGCACAAGAATTGCACTAGTCATGTCGTTTTCCAAAGACCATCTTCCTGAAATAGCAATCTGCAAAATGAATGTACATAACGCGCTTACTGTAACAACTGGATATGCTTTTATTTTAAGCCACTTTGCTGAAATTTCAATGTGAAATATCTAACACCACCATCTGCTCTGCAACTGACATCTGCTCTTCAGCTGACATCTGTTTCTGAATCCTTGTTATTCTTGGTCATTTTTAGTAAACATTATGTCATCATTACATGTATCAGAAAGTACAGAGGAATAAATTCCAAGCCATATAATTCCAGTCTCCTACATACAGGTAGTCTAAAAGTACCGTTTATTTTCTTATATTTAGTTCTCACTCAGACTTGAATACAGTAATTCCTGCTTTCTGCTAGCGAGATCCTAGAAGAGATTAAAGGCTCAGACTCAAAGAAGGGACATAAAGTGAAATTTAGTTAGGATTTAGATGGCTAATTCCAAAACTGCAATCTTCTGTTAATTCTGTATTGGTCTGGGACTGCTTTACTTTATGGGCTCTTCAAGCTTTTTGCATTAATGTTCCTCAGGTACCTAAAATTCTGCTGTTATACAAACCTGGAAGGACCTTGATCTCAACCAAGCTGAAAAGCTGGGACATTTCTTATGCTGGCAGCCACAGAACAGCAACTCCTTCACTTGTCTTGCCTAGGGACCTTGATTTGGCAGAGGTTCTTAGGACATGCTTCCTAAATTGGGCTCTATACAAAGTTCAGTGACAGCTGCTTCTTTCTATTAAAAGATGGCTAGATACAGCCACTGCCTGTACCATTTTCTTCCCACTTCCCCATCCTCTTCATACAGTAGCTCAACAAACACTGAGCTAAGATATGGGAAGCTGGAAGGAGTGTGGGGGTGGGGTATTTAAAATAATAGCATTCTCCTCCAAAAATGCTCGAATTATCAGGCCCCAGTCTTCTTTTTTAATGATGCTCTGGGATGCATAGAAAAAAATTCAATTCATTAATATAGAAAGAAAAAAAGAAGATTGGTTCTTTACAAAAGCAGGATAAACTTCTATTATAAAATACACACAGACTGTAAGTATATTAGAAAAATTAAAAAGTGCTTGGGAATGTCCCCAGGCATGCAGCACAGAATAGCTCACATCCACACCAGCAAACTTTCCTGTGCTTTCGAGCAGGCTGGCTGCAGGCAAAGTGCCCACTGGGAACAGCCCTTGGAACAAGCTAACTCCTGAACCGGGCCTGGAAACCATTCGGGAGCTGCCCAATGCCCGCAACTGTTCTCATCATACAACAATGTGGGTTAATCCTCATCTGGAATGATTTAAGGCACTGTTTAATTTCCTACTATTATCTGGCCATATAATATCCGAAATGGAACTGAAACTGAGAACACTTTGGCTTTCCCTCCCTCAACTTCTCACCTAGGGCTAATGGTTAGGCATTACTGTGATCTGAAATTACATGTGACACAAAAACTTCTTTAAATTTTGATTACCCTGGGCTATTTGTGAAAAACAGGGGAAAAAAACCACTTATTGATCTTCAGGCTGATTTCTGTTTGTCAAGAGTATTTTTTGAATAAACGGATTTCTCTGTTTTAGAAGTTACAATGTTTATCATAAATTTTCCATGAGAGGAATAATTTACAAGAACTAGTAAAATATTCAAAAGCCTATTAAAAATTTAGGAGACTAAATCAATTTTTAAGTCACTTACACCTGGTATAAACTTAAGTTACTGAAGCAGGGCAACGTAAACTCATCATCTGCATGCTCTTAGCCTGAAGCAAATACCAGCAGAACATGGTAGTCTGAATATCAAATTCATTATTTTGAATTAGTATATTTTAATTTACTTTTAGTATGTTAAGAAGAGACCAAGCCTGGTATCCCAGTTCATGTGAGGTGCAGTGTCTCATCAAATTAACAGAACCAATCACAAAAGCCCAAAAGCTTTTTGGACTCCAAGTGCAACTGGCTGTCAAAGGGACTTGGGTTTCCCTGGGAACACATTACTTATCAAAATTAGGCTGAAGTTCTTAAGTCTGCTGGGCAGTTCCGAAAAAATAGCTCAATGTAATTTTGTCATATCAATGCACTCTGTTTCTTACAACTGTTTATTTTTAAAGAATAAAATATCCCCTTAGTTATTACTGTTGATTGGAAATAGTGGGATTTCCACCAACACAGATTATTTAATGTGATTTTAAGATGTACATGAGATTAAAATTTATGCTAGTGTATCTGAGTTGCCAACAGAATAAAAAAGTATTAAATTAGCCTATTAAAAACTTCACTTCATATATTAAATATTTTTAATGCAAAATGTCACATAAGTATTTTTTACATAGCAACCAAGTCATTAGTAATTATTCTCTTCACAGAACCAATTTATGGAAGAAAAGAAATGTACTTCTTTAGAGATCATATGTAAGTTCTGGCACTATTTTTCAAGCCCAAGATCTGTGATAAGCACGTAGCCCAGGAAAAAATCAGAAAGCAATAGAGGAATTTTGGAATTTAAGCTCTTTAGAAATCACTTTCTGCTGCTTTCAGTCATGGTGAATTTTAGATTTTAAGTGGTACATACCCAAAGGCTCTCTTTCTTGTGATGGTAATTCCAGGTCACTAGAAACTGACACTTCTTCAACAAGAAATTTTGACAACTGTGTCCCAAGATATGTAACCTGTACAAAAAAATCTAAATGGATAACTGGCCATTTTAATTAGTGTATTTTCTGATAGGTGTAAAAATTTTACTTCTCTTACAAAACTGAGTTTATGCACTTAATGGTCTAATCTGTGTCTGTCCAGATCAGGGCAAGAGAAGGGCAATGAAGCTGGTGAACGGTCTGGAGCACAAGTCTTATGAGGAGCGGCTGAGGGAACTGGGGTTGTTTAGCCTGGAGAAGAGGAGGCTCAGGGGAGTCCTCATCGCTCTCTACAACTACCAAGGAGGTTGTAGCGAGGTGGGGGTTGGTCTCTTCTGCCAAGTAACTTGCGATAGGACAAGAGGAAATGGCCTCAAGTTGCGCCAAGGGAGATTTAGATCGGACATTAGGAAAAATTTCTTCACTGAAAGAGTGGTCAGGCCTTGGAACAGGCTGCCCAGGAAAGTGGTGGAGTCACAATCCCTGGAAGTATTTAAACGATGTGTAGATGAGGTGTTTAGGGACATGGTTTAGGGGGCACGGTGGTGTTGAGTTGACAGTTGGACTCGATGATCTAAGAGGTCTTTTCCAACCTTAATGATTGTATGATTCTATAAGATCAAATTCTGTTAATTTGAATTCTAAATGAAAAAAGCATAATACAACCCATCTGCAAAGCTCTCTAAACTCTGACAGTATTTTTGCAACATTTGTCCTTTACACTCTGATATTTCAATAAGCTTGCTCCTTTTTATTCTAACTACCTTTCAGCTTTTTCTGTCAGTCTCTTAATCATCTTTAAAACCACTCTTTCAAAGCACTGATAGCTTACAGAGTGGGCATTCCACATTCTCTCAACACTCGTAACTAGTTCATCACTCTACACTAGAGCTATGTAGCTCTTTCTTTGCTGCTTATTCATTAAGAGTAAAAAGACTTTTTAAAATTTAGGCTTGTACCCTCTTCTGGTTTAAGAACAGTAAGGAGATCCAGATTTGTGAAATTTGTTATTGCCATTTATTATTGCTATTTTTAGGAGTAAAATCAGGCCTACCTTATTCCACACATACTTCCATGTCACAGAAATATCACTTCCTAATAGGTCTTTAACCCACTCAACTGGATTCTGAAGTATTTGTCTCTTACTGGTTCTGATCTTGCCATTGTTTAAGAGCGTGGCTTTATGACTAAATTCCTGAAGAAGATAAATTAAGAAATAATTTTCAACTCATAAATTAACAAATCTGAATTAACATCCTTAAAACATGAAAAAGTGCTGAAGAACTATATAGCTGAAAAGTTGCAGCTAATTCTGGTTTTCTCTGAAAAAAATTAAAGAATTTAATGCCGCTATCATAAACTGTGGCATGTAAAATAAGAGGATTTATTCCACCAGAGTAAGATGTTTTGGCCACCCAGACACCACTGTCAGAGGACAAATCTCCCTATGTGTGTTTATCAGAACTGTATTTGCATCTTGGTTCCTCTTAGACATAACAAAGCTGTGACTAAGTTAATTTGCAACAGTGAACTCAGGAACTCACAAGAGGAAAGTCTGCGCACCAAGAAACTGTTACTCAAACGTAATCTGTCTTACACATGTGGAACAAATGTATGCCACAGTGAAATTCCAGCAATGATTCAAAGATGAAATATATTTGCATAAAAACTTCACTTATGTCAAGGGACATCACTTACATGTTTTAGGAGGAACCTGGCAGCCTTGTCTTATGCAAAATTAAGTATAAAAGAATTTATTGTTACTGCCTCTTTGATAATGCTAGTACAGTTCTCCAAACATATGCACCTCCAGAAGCACGGCTTATAGTTGTTTACAGTTCAGTAAATTATGATTTTGTTATACTGGTCGCAGTTAGGCTAACACAGCTAAATAACACAAAAATTAGCTGTTGGTAAACTATGTTAGAACTTAGTAAGGTTGCTTAGCATGCGTGAGGTTAAACAATCAGAGTAAGAGAATGATCCACCAGCAAATACTGAACCTCCTCCTACCATATCCACTGGCTTGGGATGTCTATAAGAATCTAAGATGTTTAACCCAAATATTTTGATGAACACTCAATTCAGTTCACAGTTTCATAGCTTAGGTCTACAGCACTCAAAAACTGCATTCTGCCTGCCCAAAGCTAACCTTAAGTAAGGACTATGTACTAGCTGTATGTTGTTATCAAGTACATCTCTATAATGATAAAGAAGGAAACTTTACTGATCATCTCCTCTTTGCAACGCAGTAGATGCTGACTTCTAGACTTCAATCTCTATAGCACTGTCTTCCAAGACATAAATGAGTGTCGTTTTCATTCTAGCAAAAATCACTGACTTCTCTACACTCCAAACATCAACATTTCAATACAGGGTTATAATTCCTTAAGATCCACATGCATCAAGCCAGTATCACAGATAACAGTCTTAAGAAATGACAGTAAGCATACTGAATTCTTCATCCTCCCATTTAGCCATCTTGAGATTCAGAGGAATATTACATATCCTTTAAAGAAAAGAAGCATGTGTATGTACTTATGACATGGCCTAATGCAGAGGCTTGTGACTTACTCACGCTGCCTTATTTTACAAAACACAAGACCACACAAAATGGCCACTCTCAGCAGAAAAGCATTCCCGAGCAGATTATAGTTGCAGAAAAAGGAGTCTTTTCTACATTAACTACACCTGGTGAGTTGGCTGAAAAGAACCTTTCATGTTTTAATCAATATGTTGCCCTGGAAATTAACTAGCTCGTAGCTGGGAATTCAGTCAATAATTCCATCATTTGCTCAATACCAAGCCAGTCCCCTGGCAGCTGCCTTGCAAACCTACTCTGTATTTGGAGGCACAGGGGCATGCTTTTGTATTAAAAAAAAAGCTTTGGTTTTTTTTCAAATATGGTTCATACCAGACTGTAAACTATAGAATCAGCTGGCATGTACGCAAGTAATTTTGCTTATATTCATGTCTATCACAGCACTTTGAAATCCTTGATGTCACATTTCTTTATTTGAGGGACTTGATAGTTGCTTCCAAGAGTCACATTAAGTCATAAAAATCTTAACGTTCCCGCTCTTTCCAATATGAAAATCAAGTATTACACAATGTAGTCCAACCAATGATTCCACTCTAGTTCTAACAATAGAAAATGTTAACAAACTGATAATGCAAAGTTAAACACAAATTTCACATATGCAATATTCTGGCTGTTAAAATTATGGGCTGACAAAAGACATCATCCATAGCATTTTCCTTTAAAACCCATAAAAGATTATCTGTAACCAATGAATAAAAATTTTCAACACTAAGTGCTGAAGATGCAGATTAAACCTTGAGAACTGCTGTTTCCCCATTTTAGTGGGCTTTTTTTTTTTCATTATATACTAATATTAACATCATTATATCTCAACAATTACCTGCAGTTTGAACTCTAAAACATTTTCTCCCGGCTTAATCCTTCCCGATTCAAGTAGATCTATCAACTGAAGCTTTTTCCTATTTTTTCTTCCATACCTCACTTGTTTTTGTTCACATTCCTGATTACTGTAGCCCTGGGAAGATTTCTCACTCAGGTTTACTGGATCATCTGTATTTGAGGTAAGATTTGTAAGCACCGAGTTGGCATTAAATGAATTCTCACTACTCTGAAAGATCATTTGCTGCAGACTATTAGGGAAGTTCTTTGCAGATGTTGACAAAATTACTTGCTGCTGCTGCTGCTGGAAAGCTTCTTTCTTATTTACATATCTGTGTAGATTCTCATCTGTAAGAACCTGCTGGCAGTCACTGCCTGGCTGACAGACATTGTTATTGACAACAGTGCTTTGGGGTTCTACAATATTTAATGCATTGGTCACTGAAATGGCCTTTAAAGACTTGTTTCCTTGTTCTGCAATTGCTACACAATCAATGTCTTTTTGCTGTGAGCACTTTGTTTTAGCAGTGGAAACAGTAGGTTCTGAAGGCAATGTCACCACTTCTGCAGCATTTGTCAGCTTTGTCATGTTGTCGAAGGGATATTCTCTTACCCTGTTTTCGGATGCCAAAGCATGATCAGAAGCCTCTTTGCTTCTAATTGCTTCTTTATTTGCTCCTGTCTCATCCAAGCAGATGTGTGGATGTTGGCTGCATTCCTGAGCTGAAAATCTATTTTCTAAAGAGAGATGTGCTTCTACTCTGTTTCCATTAGGCATACTGGCACCAAGCCCCATACTAAATGTAACTACATCAGGAGACATGATTTCATCAGCAGTTAAAATTTGTCTTTTATCATTTCCACAGGAAATAACTAAGTTTGAGATTTGCTTCTCTGAACATGATGCACTGAACACTTGCTTTGTTTTTCTGTAATTTTGTATTTTTTGGACTAATTCTTCCTGGTTTTGGGCAACAGTCAACAGACTCTTTTGCCTAGAAGCAAGGTTAACTAATTGTTTCCTCAGTGCTCCTTTTTTAAAAGATTCCACTGAAGCCCTATAGAAAATAAAAAAAGTAATAATAAGGACACCAGAGTTGCTGTAAACACAAAATAAAAGCAGTTTAATAGACATAACCCACTAAGAACAGGAATATGTTTCAAAGGACTCTGCCAACACCTAAAATTTGAACAATCTTTTTATCATGTATGAAGTTTATAGTTCAAATCCCAGGCTTATGCACAACAAACTGTAGAATCCCATCTAGAAGTAGGATGAAAAGCATCAAAACTTCAGTAATAACCTTGTCCTCCTATAACACCCTTAATTCATAGAATCGGAACTGGGTCTGTATTATCACTGGCTACTCTTTTATTACCACAAATCACAATAGTTCATTGAATTCAATGCCTTTGCGGCTCTAATTTGGAGCCTTTTAAAATGAACTCAGGATGAGCTACTGAAGGATGATACTATCAGAAAATTTTTATGGTGTACACAACAAAATATTTTGTGAAGCCACAACTGTAATAATACCACATGACCATTAAGAAAAGAGGACAGAGCAGTTTAGGATGTTGTATGCTAGTTTGGGAATGTCTGTCCCTTCATCAAACTCTGCTCCTTAGCTGAGCTGGTCTCCCTGTGAGATTCCTTCCCTGGGTGACTTTACCTCCTTCCTGCTGGAAGGGAATTCCGTATTTCCCCCCTTTCCTTTGGCACAAGAGCCACCAGCCCAGCATAATATTCCTTTCTCCTAATTCCCCCTCATGTGAAAAGTGATTGCATTACCACTCTGGCACCATGCTGGGAAGACAGGGGAGTACCACAAGGTGTGGAAAAAGGGATAGCAGCATGGTTTGCTTTTAACTCACAGGAGAAGTGCCATGAAGTAACACCATCCCAGTCTTGGAGGAGAGAGACTGTGAGGGGATCAGGACAGAGGTACAGCAAGACTAGTTGGTGCAGAACAAGGACAGCCAAACCACAGCGTGACAGTATTGGTGTCTGTACTGTGATATTGCTTGCTATCGCATGTGTTTAGAATCCATGATATGATCAACGTATCAGCATATAGTCAATAACTGATATGAGAAAGCCTTGACAACTATGGACTCCTACACAGGCCAGTGAGGCTTGACACACTTTCCTAGCAGTGTTTCTTCAGGTAAGTTTTGTTGCTTTATTGCTACACAGGTACTGAAGAAGCCACAACTAAAAAAGCAAATACAGTGTGACTAAAATGACAGAGGCAAAGTAACCTACAGTCACTAACCAATACGATGCTTTTTTTGCTCATTTTTCTTAGGTGAGAGATACATCTTAATATCTTCAAAGGAACAGATAGAAATGGCAAAGTGTTAGTAGTATCTCTCCCTGGGCTAACTAACTGAACAACAGAAGGATGGAAAATGTGATGATGCCTCCTGATCTTCTGTACATTTATGTATCGTGTGACAAAAGCTTATATGCTAATTAGCTAAAAATAAAATGTTCACCATATAAATAATAAAAAGGAAATTTAATGTAATTTGGCATGTAGCTCATTCCTGTTGATGGATAGCTGTTGCACTAGCTGCAGGGTAACTGCAATACCGAGAAATATTTATCACTTTGCTCTGAAACATAGTTTCACTCTCAATATTATAAGGCAGATAAGTTTGTATAGATATTAATTTTACTGTTCTTGTTTCTTAATTCAGTCACTAGTTTGTTCACAAGGATGATCTGGAACCCTAACTTCTCTTTACATAAAACACTCTCTTTTTTTTTTATTATCTGTGTAATCTATGTATCCTACATATTATAGCTGTAAAATGGTCCATGACAGAAAGGTTTCAGTCTCTTTGCTCAACCAGCCTGTATGTTTTGCCATGGAATTACCTGAAAGCTGTACACTGTTGCTTTTACATGACCAAACAAATACTGTTCACACAAACAAGATGTAGACATTCTCATCAGATGGCCTAGAAGCATCCACTGAACACAATGCTACATTGTTAGCTGAGCACTCACCACATGACCAGCATTCAGGTAGTCCCTCTTAGAAGAAGTAAAAAAGAGGCCTTGTGAGAGCTAGCAGCAGGAAGCTGACAATTCACATAGTCCACACTCACACTGAGGTGAGCACTCCCCGCTCACAAAAAAGAAATGTCTGCAAGTATGCTTCAAGCCATTGCTCTAAATGGCTCTTGTGGGCTGTTGGTTGAACACTCCCAATCTAGGGGTGCTAAAGAAACAAAACCAGAGGCAGGGACACTGAAAGTAGTGTCTGAGTTGCTACTGCTTTCCTCCATGATGCTGCAAAAGTAATCTAATTGCTCAGTACCTCCACGTCCTAATTTCTGCTTAAGTATTTTTCCACACCTTTTGTATGTTCACTACCTAATTTCAATGCTCACTGTGTGCACAGTAACTGATTAGTATGCGTTCGCTAAACCCTGAAGTTCTTCCTCGATGTAAACTCTTACTGGAGGTAACTGAAGCCAATATCTGAATGACATCGCAAAATCTGAATTAAAACCACATAGTTTTACTTTCATGCTACTGTATGCTAACCTTCTAACAACGTCTAGCACTATTGCTATAAAGAATAGCTTTCCATAAATACAATCCTTGTATTCTACTTACCTATATTTTTTAGCAAGTGTATCCCTTTCTGTTTTCTGTTTTGCAAGCATTTCATTCAAAGTATCTTGCATCTGAGACAGCCTTTGGATGTATACATCTGTCCAATATTTTGATATAATCAAAATGATGATGGCAATAAGCAGTAGAAAATAATTATAGTAGTAACATTTTTTAATGTAGCAAATACACAGCCAAAGTATGAAAACATTGTTACAGCAGTACCTTATACTGTCATGCATACTGATAGCTCATTACAAGTAGAGTACTTTTAATGAAATTCTTCATAGAAAGAATTAAAAACAAATTTAAATTAAAAGGAAATAGCCCAAGTACTGGAAAATTTTGAAATGCAAGTGTCTTGTGTAGGAAATTACTAAGAGAACAGGATAGATTAAAGAACTGACCTATGGATCATAAGCACTCAAACTTTTGAAGTTCTTTCTGTTGCAAGGAGCTACATAACATGACAATTATATGTGAGGCTACCTGCAGAAGTTACACAATCTTAACAAGGTGGCTAAAACCTTTATGTTTGAAGTATTATAAAATAGTTTAATGAGCTTAGACTGTTCCAAGTTACATATAATGGTAAAAACATATGTATCATAGTTTTACATAGTTTCAAACCCATACTATAAAATAAAATGAATTATAAATTGTCCCTTTTCGTCAGCTATATTTTTCTAAAATAAGAAGAGCAATTATAAATTCTTCTTTATATGCCCTCTTAGCCATATAACATAAGGGAGAGCTCAGAAGTCATGACCAGCAGATACCACTGGGATAATATGCTGAACATGTAATCTAATTCCTGAAATTCTAAAACAGGAAATACAAGCTTTCCATAATCATGAAAAATGGGAAATAACAGGATTAAAAACGGTGTTTATAAAATGTATCCCCAAACCTGTTTTGTAGTATCCACCAGTATTTACTTACTTATTAAAATAGAAAAATATGACAATATTGCTCTTATTAAGGCAGCTTAATAGGGAATTTGAATCTATTATTTACAGTAGGTTTACTGCATGCAAATACCTTAATGATTTTATTCTGTGTTTTAAGTTCGTCAATGTACTTCTAGGTTCTTGTTCAGTCTTGTGCCTCTTGACAAGTAATAACTATGATTTAGTTTAAAAGGTGCTAGATTATTAATGGTTTTGTCAGTAGTGGTAACAGATCACCATGTTCATTTCTCTCATGCCCCTAAACAGGAAAAGTCTGGTAGTTTTATTTTGCTCATTTTTGAAATTGCACCTATCCCTGTCTATAGGCTTCTGCCTATTGTATCATGTACCTGTTTGTCAAACATTTTTCAAGAAAACATACCGATTTTAATTAACAGCTCATACGCCATAAATTTGAGTTGGAAGCTACAAATATGCCTAATTCCATATTTCACATTTATTTTTAAAGGGATAAATCGACTATTTTAAATATAATTTGAAAGCTCCACCCTATATTCAGGAAAATAAATTTTTAAAAAACCCTTCCTTTCTGTCAGGAAGCAAAACTCTTCCATGGGCATGAACTGCTGCAAACTAAACAGCCCTGCCTAGATGGCAACGGCAGCTGGGGCGAGAGACTTTGGTCAAAGGGATTCCTGCAGCTAGCTTTGCCACTTGAACAGTCATAGCACAGACACAACAGACTCAAAGTGCCACACAGCACCAGCACTGTGATCTCCTAGGAAATCAGTGTCACTTAGTAGGCTCTTGAGATTAATCTGAACTGAGATTTGATTGCCTAAGACAAATTACACCTCCGGGAACCAGCATTTCTGAAACTGCCCACCATCCACAGTGTCTGCCTTAAAGATTTCTCTTTTTTCCCTCATAAATTATTTTAGGCTCCTGAAAGTCCAGCTGCACTAGAATGAAAATGCTGCATCTGTTACTTTACACACGGACATAGCTGTTCTTGATCATGGAGGGGCTCATGTACTTGTAACTGAATAATGTTGCCAACAGTGTGCATTCTCATCTAATGATCCCTTCTTATATGATTAGGTTGACCTGAAACACATGCCTCCAAGTGGCATGCTTCCTTTTTTTGTCATCATATTCATTCCTACGTAAAATGGAAGTACTTCAGGAAACGCACTTACCTGGGAGCTGTTATTAAAATCTTACTTTCTGAAGCTGTATTTTCCAGAGGACATATTCAAATATATTACGGGCAATACTATTGCAAAAACAATTATATTACCGAAGATATTTACCCCCCCAAAAAAAGTGAAACAACTTGAATTTACGTGTACCTGCATCTCTGGAAGTTCTCAATTCAAGTAGCAACAGTTCTTTTTGCTTCTCTTCTGCATCTTGTATGGTAGCAACAGACTCCTGTTAACAAACACAGAAATGACAGTAAGAAGCAGAGCCAAATGCACCACATAAAACCATGATGTATGGCCTGCAGGGTAATTATTGGTGGACTCAAATCATTCCAGGCAGGGAACTACTGTGTAAAGGCAACGGGGGCACTGGAAGGATAGAAGTATATAGTGCCAAGGGTATGCTCTGCAAGGGGCTGTCACAGCCTGGTTTTGCCCAGGCATTCAAACTAGTCCATGCTCAGAGTCCCACCTCTGAGCGCACTGAAGGGATTAGACAGTGAATTTCACCATGACAGCATCACCTGGACAACGTAGACATAGCCTACAGATACCAGCAAGAGCGCTCTCCTAACATACAACTTGTGCAAAAATCTTCCTAGCTGTTTTAAATTAAGATTAAACAATTCCTAAATACCTTCATTATCATTAAGAAAAATTATTACTCTTTCAAGGAGCCATTTCGGAAATGTGATGAAAAGCCTCAGGATTCCTGGCCTTTTTTCTATTCATATAAGCAGTAAGAAATGTATGTAAGTATTGACTACTGTTTGCACAATAAATGTAAGTGCACAGGAATCATGAACAGAGAGAAGTGATAATATACATATTTATATACTGTAAACCACAGCTTAGATACTGTAAGCCTCTGCATGCTGGTTTTTTACATACATTCCAAAGGGTTCATTATTTAAATGATATATTCATGTTACTCAGTCAGTAAATGACACTATGCAGTACTACACCATGAAGCAGTTTAACAAAACTCTGTTATCTATACTTACCACACTGTATTTCCCATGTTGTGGCTCCAAAGCTGCATCATCATTTTTACAGCAGTCGTAACAACGACGTTTTGATCTTCTTGACCTAGAAGGATATGTCCTCTCTGCACGATTAGGAAAAAATAAATAGAATTTAAAATGAATTTGCAGGAGCATAATAGGTTAGATTAGCTAATATAGGTTACAAAGATGCAATGACAGATCACACCATTAAAAAAAAATCTTGTATGTGCAAATGAGATCAAATTTAGGTAGCATAAGGAAATCAGTCTTTAAAGCTACCACTTTCAAAACCACAAGGTTCCTGTGAAGGGAAATAAAGATAATAACAAAAATCTGAAGAGCTAAATATGTCCTTATACCTCATTCTCTCAGGGAAAAAAAAAAACCCTCATATATCCTATTTTCTGAAAATAAATAAATAAATAAAATTCAGTAGTTAACAGAGCTGAAAATATTAGTGCCAGGCAATATGCAGCTCCGCAAATCAGTAGCATTCTAATGTACAGTTTTTCCTTAAGACTACAGGATAATCCTATGATTTACGTTACGAAACCAACATACCTGTAACTTCAGTAGTCTCAACAGGAAGTACAGAGTCCATAGCACTGTAAGACTTCAGCAGTTCTTTCATTTCATCATCACAAGCTTCATCCAAAGCACTTTTCCCTGAACCATCCCTCTCACAGGGATTTGCTCCATGCTGTAGTAGAATCCTGACCGCCTGTTATATATTATTATTATTTGTATTGTGATAATTCTTGTTGTGGACAACTATATGTGTTGTATCTATCATAAATCATAAATAATAAAGGTACAAATAAGATACTCTAAAACCCGTTACACTTGCAATCCCAATTAAACAAACAAGCTTAATTGCCTACTATCAACACAGACTTGTATCTTACACTTCCAATTTTTCCATTAAAATACACAAATAATTCACAACTTGTCATTAAAACTGACATCTTTATGGTATTGTCATAGAGAGCAATTACAAAACTTCATATAACTAAATTAAAAGGAACGGGTCAACTGTATTAAGACCAAAGTGCAGAAACGTGGATTTTTTTTCCTTTGAGTATTTAATAGTGGTTTTGTTTTTTGGTTACATGCACTGACGATTTTTTTCCTAATTCCAAATCACTTGCAAGCCTGCTTAATTGTAAAATGTGGAAATGAGATTAGTGGCGTTGGGGGAGTCATCTACCCCCTAAAATTCAGATCATATGAAAGTGTTGACGAGGTCAGAGCTTGGATGGTAAAGAATTTTCATACGTATGATTTCTCATCTTTAGTATTTCTTCTTCTTTCTTACTTCAGAGTGCTGTTAAGTATCAGAAAGTATCAGAAAGAGAATACTCTCTAGAAGTTCAGAATCTTCTCCATCAGTTTTCCCCCACAATACTGAATAATAGCTTGTATGTTTTCAAGAACCCTACTGATAGTTTGGCACCAGGCCTGTGAAATCATCCCCTTCATTTTATCTCTGCTCACAGAAAAGATAAATATGATGAAATATCAGCTCTTCTGACAGGAATAGAAGTGGTATATTTGAGCCAATCTGGTATCACTTTTTTACGCTCAGTTCCCTGGAACTCACTGTGCCAAAACAACATTTTATTTATTTGTGTGCAGTTCTGGGCCCCACACTTTAAGAAGGGTGTGAAGGTTCTTGAATGCGTCCAGAGGAGGGCAACAAAGCTGGTGAAAGGGCTGGAAGGCATGTCCTATGAGGAGCAGCTGAGGACTCTGGGTTTGTCTAGTTTGGAGAGAAGGAGGCTGAGGGGCGACCTCATTGCTCTCTACAGCTTCCTGTAGAGGTGCTGATCTCCTCTCCCTGGGATGCAGTGATAGGACGTGTGGGAATGGTTCAAAGCTGTGCCAGGGGAGGTTTAGACTGGACATTAGGAAGCATTTCTTTACCAAGAGGGTGGAACAGGCTTCCTGGAGAGGTGGTCGATGCCCCAGGCCTGTCAGTGTTTAAGGGGTGTTTGGACAATGCCCTTAACAACATGCTTTAACTTTGGTCAGCCCTGAATTGGTCAGGCAGTTAGACTAGATGATCGTTGTAGGTTCCTTCCAAGTGAAATAGTCTATGCTATTCTATAGAACTATAGAATGGTTTGGGTTGGAAGGGACCAGTTAATTAAAAAAAATGGTTGATTTTTAAACAGCAGGCCTAGGTTTTTTTCTTCACAAAAAAGAAATTTTTTACAATGACAGTGGTGAGACACTGGAACAGGTTGCCCAGAGAAGCTGTGGATGCCCCATCACTGGAAGTATTCAAAGTCAGGCTGGACGGGGCTTTGGGCAAGCTGACCAAGTGAAAGATGTCCCTGCCCACAGCAATGGGGTTGGACTAGATGATCAAATTAAGAATGCTCAATTTCAGTATTATTTTTAAAAAGCCCAATACGTGGGAGAGAACCATGGAGAGCATCTGAATTTTTCTCATTTGTCTGCTGGACTAAAAATGTCAACTAACTGTACAATTTCAACTGTCACTATTGAAAAATACTTCTTTCTCTAATTTTGATCACTTCAAAGAATATTTGTTTATTTCCTAAATGCAAATCTACACTAAAATTGCATTAATAACTTTGACTTCCCTTTTTTAACCAGGATTTTGCTTTGCTGACCCTCGTCTGGAAATCAGGCTCAGGAAATCTAATGTAAAAGAAAAACATACCTCCAAATAATTGCCAGAAACAGCATCATGTATTGGCAAAATACCATCCAGACTTCTGCTGTTAACATTAGCACCAGCTTTCAGTAATTCTAAGATCACTTCAGTAAATCCACCATTAGAAGCTTCATGAATTGCTGTCCAACCTAATAAAAGCAAGATGACACATACAGCATGCATCTGATTTGGAAAGATCATACATTTATGAAAGTATAAATTTTGCTGTGTTTGCTGTACTATAAGCAAGGACTACTCTCTTTAAGATGAATCTTATACAAACAATCGTCTTGAAATGCCAAGGTAAATTACTTCCTGGGTAATTCAGTTTACTTTAGAGAAAAATGCACCTAAGATTAAGCAGAAAAATATTGTTTACCCTTCCACTACACTACTAAAAATAATAAAAGAAACAAAACAATAGCGTAGAAAGACTCTAAAAACTCAGAAGCATGATATTAATAGTCTGATTTCTAATCCCAGTGGCATTATATAATATCAAGTCGGCCAGGCAGCCAGAATAGAATACCATCCATTCTGAGACTATAAAACCAGAAATGCATTATACATTTAGGTAGGAAAAAGAAAAAATAATTTTGTCATCTGATTCTTGTCATTTCTTAAGGAAGTAAGATTTATGTGAATGTGCTTCACATGTGTATATATTCATGTGCATAAGCATTACTTCTGCCTCCGAACTTTCAAATCCACTTTCCATACATATCTCTCAAAATGTGCTGTTGAGCAGAGGAGCAAGACCCGATTAATGCCCCTGCTGAGAAAAAGGCTGCATTAGCCCCATGCTGAGACACAAAATCCAGGGATTCACTGACTGTGCTTGCACTTGTTGAATGACTTCCTTTCCTCCTCACAATTATATCATAAATCAAGAATCCATAATTATATTAAAATTACACTAATTATATAAAACCATATATACTATAAATTATATAAAATTGTATCACAAAACAAGCCCGTAAGAGAGTAATTTTCAAACCTGCATAGTCCTGTTCATTGACACAAATTCCAGATGATATTAGAGTTTTCACCAAAGACAAATCTCCTCTCCTAGCAGCAATATGCAGCTGAGTTTCCCCTTTTGCATTTCTCTTCTTTTTCATCTTTCTCCCAGCTCTTGTATCACAGGTACCATGTAAAATTACAGCTTCTTTTCTGGTAGATAGGGAGGATCCTAAACACATATTGAGTGTTCATTAAGAACTAAAAAAAATGTTTCATTATAAACAAAGAATTAAGCTTCATAACTCATTTGAATTAATGTAAATGTGTGCAATACTGTTGCCTAAATTATTCAATAACATTAATTGACTACATCAAAAGATTAGAAGGTACTGCGTTAACAGCTCAGATAACAAACAGACCCTATGCAAAAGAATTTACAGTTCAAATCTAGATAACTTAACAAAGGTACAATGAATTAGGGATCAACGAAAAAGAAAACAAGGTTGAAGTTTTATACTGTATAGAGGTAGGGAGTATGTTATGTTTCTCCATGGACTGCTTTCAAGTTACCAGGCATGCCTGCTAAATCTGTAAAGTACGCACATAAAGGTATTTAAGAAACTATATAGAAGTGAAGACTTGACCATCACGTCTTTTCCATTCCTCATTCTGTATCAGGGAAGATATCAGGTTTCTACATAAGGTATTTTTACAGCTGTCATGTGAAAAAGTCCTGTAGACTGATTACAAATCTTTGATTAATGTCTAGTGACATAGCTGAACTGCCTTTTAACTAAACCTGTGCAGGATTGGACCCATAATTGTAAATAAACTTGATTTAATCCTTCTCTTATTGGTTCACAAAGCAAACAACTTTAAATTTATCACCGGATGGGTCCTAATTCTGAGGCTTCAGGTTACCGACATATCAAATTGTAGGAGATACAAAGGAAAAAAAAAAGATTCTGCATATAGAGTAAGGACAACGCCTTCGCCCCAAACTGCAACCAAAAAGACAGGGTGTATAAATCTTCAAAAGCTCTACCATGCATGTTAGCTTTTTTTTAACTCCTGTTCCTGCTGTTACAATACTGTGCTATCAGATTTTTTTTAAGAGTTCACTGTGTTCTTTCTCTGATTTCTTGAAAATCTGTAATTTGTCCAAAAAAAGGAAAGTGTAAGGCTTTAAATAAGCATTTTGCAACTCTTATCCATGTTTTTTTAATTATTCCTATGAACAATTAGTTGCTGCATCCCAAGTATTTCCTCTTCCCATCAGACATGCTGTCTTCTCAAATATTTTCAGTTGTCAGTATCCATTGCTATCTAACATCTTCCATGATACGACAGCTGCCTTTCTTCAGGCTCCTCCTGCCTTCTGGAAAATCTGCTTTTCCAAGGTTTCCTTTAAGGTAAACTACTGAGCTTGTCATCCAAGACTGTTTGGAAGAACATGAAGGACATACTGCAACTATATTAAAGGCAGACATATAGTGAGGATATATCCATACTAATTTTAAACTAGCTTATTCAGGCACTGCTGCAGCCAGACTATGGCAGCATGGAGCTCACCGTACGCTATTCTAACTTGTCACAAAGCATTCAGGTGGCCCTCTTTGCATTGGGGGTCCTTGGCCCACACCGTATTGGCAACCAGAAGAGCTACAGATTTCTTTTTAAAATGAAAATTGAGATTCTAGAGCACACAGAGGGGACACGTTATTGAAATACTCCTCCAATCTCAGACCTACTTTTCTGTAAGACAATGTAATGTGTTTTGTCTAAAAGCTTCTGGGTCTCAACTCCCAAAGCAATCATCCACTTTCTGGTTCTTCCTTTTCTTCCCCTTTGATTCATGGGAGAATGTCCTAGGGACTCTTTAGAGATTAGGAGAAAAAAAAGGAGCACAACAGCCCATTAAGCTAATGACCCTTAGCAATATCAGCTGCAAGTGGACAGAAATAATTGCAAAGTTTTCCAGTTAAACTGTCATGCACAACAGTTTTCTTCATGGTTGTTAGGAAACATTTGCAAAAGCATAATGGGACATTGGTATGTGAATCACAAAACACTGGTTCTCCGTGGAATGCATTGCCAGGTGGGTCATGAGCAGGAAAGATCAGGAACTTGGCAAACACAAAAATCTAGTCAGCACAGGTACAAAGATAAGATGGAGAGATTACAGTAACCAGCAATCAGACTAGATTAGGCTGCCATATATTTCAAGGATATCTTCCTTCAAAAAGACATTTGAATACTTTAGCATTGGTCTGTAAGTAATTCCTTCCACAGATTGAACTATAAGAAAAGAATCAAGCTGTTTGTACCTTCCTTCTGTAAAAGCAGAATAGGAATGTTGAGAGCCTAGTAAGTGATTGACTGTACATGAAAGTGACACTGCGTCATTTAGGAAGAAAAGATTTTTATTCAAGAATAGAATAATATAAGGAAGACCACTGGGACACAGGAAGAATCAGATGACATACAAAAGCCAGTTAATGACAAAAAGGCATGAGATAGCAAAAAAATCTGAAAACCCCCCAAGTCAGAAAACATTATCCCACCTTCCACTTTTTTCTGCTGCAATCTGAATGCCATTGTCCCTGTCTCCAAAGCTATTAATGCCTTCAACTGTACGAAGAGCTAGACTTTCTCACATCACCTCTCAAACAGCAACATTCTCCTGGCGTGAAGAAAATAATTAAATTTTAGCTGAACAAAATATTACCTGAAGAATCTCTTTTGTAGGAAAAAGTAATCTGTGAAATGCTATTCCAGAGGAGACCAAAAAGTAAGACACATGTTTGGAATAAAGTTTTTTTAAAAATCATAATTGTATATATAGGAGGCAAAAAATATAAAGGAAAAAAATCCAAAAATGTATTAATGCACATAGACCTTACTAATAAAAATTGAGCAGGAATACAGGAGCTACAAAATTAGGGAAAGGAATAATTTCTATGTTCAATGTTTATTCTTCCTATAATTAGCAGTGAATGATGACAGGTATCAGATATACCATGGATTTTTTTCCAGAATGAAGTAAAAAGGCATTCCTACCACAGGAGGAACCAATTTGGAGATAGAAAGCTAAGTACTGACACTGTCAAATACTGGAGAGCGGTAAGTAACAAGAACCACCTACTCCTTTCCTTCTCCCTTCAACTTCCAAAAGAAAACATGAGCTTGAAGTCCAGAAACTCAAGAGAGCAGAAACTTAAGATGGGTTGAAAACTAGCAACCACCTGAGACAGGATGAGGAAACAGTATTCTGTACAGCTGAAGGCAGAAGAGGACAAGAAGACTGTGACTATCAAAGAGAAAAGGATCAGTGGCAACTTCACATAGTTTCCTATGTATGTCTTTTGTCATGTGTACAGGACACTGCAGAGATTGGCTGATAACTCCTTAATTCAACTTACAAGACTAGTGAGCATCCAGACAAAGACCCAAAGAGCAAGAGGATACTAAGCAAACAACAAAAACAGGTAAACAAATGAGTATATTGATAATATGTGTGCAGATGTATTTGTCCGTATTATGTGTGCATATATGGGTGGTATGTATATTTGTTATATGAATTACATTTATACACGCTGTTATGTACACTGGTTTTAAAAGCATTTAATGGATGTAGGAGCATGAATCCCATTGTTTTTCAAAATATGTATGATATACTTAATGCTAGCATTTATTTACATGCCACTCAAAGGCAACCAAAGTATGACCAATAGACCCCAGCAACACATAACTGCAGTCCAAGGAAGAAACTAAAATTTTTTGCTGCACACACTTGGAAAAAATAAATCAAATGTTATATCCACACACAAATACATATGCACTCACACATACTTCTATAAACCTATTTATATAAAACCCACCTTTTCCTATGTATGTATATACAAAGCATACATTTACACTGACACAGTAGTTACTTGAAAGGGAAAGTTTCACAGAACTAGAAACAATTATAAATAAAAAACAGTTTGAAGAAAAAATATCAGCAGAAAAATATGAAAAATAGCAAGGAAATATTTCACAACATATCCCACACTCAAGATGAAAAGCTGCACCGATTCAAAAACTAACCTGGCTTAGGAAGCGAATTAGAGAGCAACAGTAAATGAGAAATTAAAAAATGGGAAGTGAATGGTAGCAAATATAAATAAGGAGTTGTAGAAAACTGCTGTGGAAAACAAAAGAATACAAGGACATAGTCACAGACAGCTAAGGTCCTAAGAAGGAAGTATTTTAAAATCTATCAAAACCAGAAAAAGTAATTTCCCAAACTCTTAATTACTAGAGAGAAATGACAGAATTGTCTAAGATAATGAGAAACAACAAATACTCTATTCTGCATCAAGGCAAAGCTGCACAAGAAATTCCTATCATCTAAGGACACAGTTCTTTTCATTTCAACACAAGTTAAGGAGAATGCCAAATGATACAAGGATAAACATTTTTGAATCAGCGGTCCAGATATATTACATTTAAACGTTTTAAGAGAGGAAGGATCCCATCTGAACTACAGGTTTTGGTTTTAGTAAGTCTTCAGTGCTATGGTTCTCTGGTTCCAGAAAGAACCAAAGTACACAAGATGACCGCCAGCTTTACCAAAAAAGCAGTAAGTGAAAAACACGTGGGGGTTGTAATGAATAATCAGTTGGACCAGGGCTCTATTGTGATGGTAAGGCTACAAGATAAATGCAAGTCTTAGACATGGGATGAAACGGCTAAACAGAAAGCTGTACGTGCAGGCAGAAGAGAATATAACTACCAGACTAGGTTTGTTTCTACACTACAGCTAAACCAAATGTACCAGTACAATCAGAGCCTACGCTAACTTGTGCCTGATAAGGATATAGTCTATAACATGTAAGTGGATATATGTGTGCCAAATATACGGAGAGCCAGATTTTCTTCTTTGATCTGTGATACTTAAAACAGTTAACTGAGGACCAATTTAGTGTTATTTTAAACTATCATTTATGTAACATAGTTAACTAAGGACCAATTTAATATTATTTTAAGCTCTCGGTTATGATCCTGCATCCCCTCAACCACAATGCTGAAAGACCAATGAATATAACATAAACAAAACAGAGTAAGTATGTGCAGTCTGTAAAATGGAGTACAGAAGTTCTGGAAATATTTCAAATATTTGGAACTCACTAGAGTATTTGCTCAACATGCTATACATGTTTTTCCAAACTTTCCCTCAAGTATTACAAAAAGCCTTCTTCATGTATGTCTGGAAAAAAACTCCACTGTTTTTATAAAATATTATTTACTTTTCACCTGATTTCTTGGATGTTTGCTGTTCTGTTGCTTGACTGAATTGTGATTGATTAGATGAAAGTTTGTTTTTGCTGCTACAGGAATACGAGGCTGCCTTTTGGCTTGTCTCCTGAGGGTCTAATCTTACTCTTTTAGTTTGGACTACTTCTGTCTCAGTAAACTGAGAAAGCACGTTGGTCTTTGCATTTCCTTCTTCTCCATTTTTGTCAGTGCCTTCTGTTCCACTTACTCCAGCAAACACTCCTTCATCTGTTGGTTTAACAAAAGAACTTAAAAGTATCCATAATATATGGATATGGTATATTATATCTGATATTAAAATGAATGTCAAAATCACCACCTAGTCTAGGTTAAAAAATGCCTGCAGTAACTCACTCAATTTTTGAAAATACATTAACGTAATAAATCCTTTATCCACTATTCATTGTATGTTAATGTACTGAGATTGAATCCAAAACAATTCAAAGATTCTTTTGTGAAAATATGGCCTTTATTGATTCTTAGATATTAAAAAAAAAAAAGGTACTTAAGAATTTCATCCTAATTATTGTAATGACCATTGCGATCACATTTTGGTAAATACAGTGGGAACTTGGATATAAAACAGCCCCCAAAAACACAAAGCAAAAATTACTAACTAGTTAATCTGGCATAGTAGAATGTATCACAACACATTCCATGTGTCTGCTATTTATTTATGGCAAAATACGTTCTCTGGAGACCAACAGATGGGGGTTTTTAATAAAATACACAGAATGCTTACTACAGACTCATAAAATAATTATTTTCAAACAAAACATGGCACCTGTTTTCTGGGAGGTTTCTTTCTGCATGTTTTCCACAATCTGCAATGAATAAGGAGACTTGCTGTCTGCATTAACACCAAAATGCAAATCTGCTTTTGAATTGGTCTCCTGAAGATCCTCTCTCTTTTGTCTAATTTGAAGTCTGTCCTTTCCATCGACCTGTAAAGCTATAGGCTCGATCTCTAAACTACTAGCATTTTCAGTTTCAATGTGACATCCTTCAACACTTTCTTCTGCATTAAGCAGAATCCTCCCTCCTTTCTCTGGTTGTGGAACCTTTTGTTCAATGGTGCTTAGTACACCACTGGTAGAATTATTAGGACTTCCAGAAACACTTTCTCCATTAGTAGCTGCTAAAAGCTCATGTGCTAACAGTGTTTCTGTATTTGCTTGAAGTGTCTGCTCAGCGCAGCTGGTTCCATCTTCAGATGTATTAGTATAAATGTTTTGCACCTCATTTATAATAGTCTCTTGCAATATGTCCATGCTGTCTGAATCCATAAGATTTGCACACGCTGGTTCTGACTCATCTGTCTGTAACAAAATATGTTCAAACAAAGGCAAAGAGTTTTAAACTTAGAGCCGATCCATTAATTTTGTTTCCATCAACATCAGATTTAACTTGATTTGTCAAGTTTTGCAAAGAAATAATTCGTTCTGACGGTATTCTCGTATCAGTGTTTAGACTCCTGTCACTCAAACTACTACTGTTATTCTGCTTGAGACTATGTTGATCACTGTCATAATTCTTGACTTCCTGTTGTAACTTTAAAACAGATACATTGTGAGAGGAAGTCAAAGCAAGTAAGTATTGACTGTGAATGAAGTTCTGTTAAACCAGTAGTCTGAGAATGCTGTGCAGACACTTTTTCTCCAGAAACCACTGATGTGGGGCAATGCAAACTGGTGATGTCCTCCCCTCTTACAATAGAAGTTGCTGAGCTTCCACCAGTTCTGCCCTTTTGTTCTGTAAATGGATTTTCACTGTTACCACTGTTGAACTCATGTTCCTGTTACAATTCTGTCTGACTTAATGCAGTTTTCTTACCACATTAACTGGGATACAACAATTATGATTAGAAACAGCAACAGTGTGGCCCATTTCATTAGGTCCAGCATCAGGAAAATACATTTTCTGTAATTTAAATGTTCCTTGGTTTGTAAGTGGACCTAAACATGAGGTTAATCTAACATGAGACATTATTTCTGAATAGTTTTACTCTTGGCTGTAGCCTCTGCTACATGAATAGCAGATCTATTTGTCTTTTTTGAACTTGTTTCTTTTTCATTCAGTTTTCTGCCTTCAGAATCCTGAAGAACTTTATCTTTTTTATATTTCACCAAATTTGTTCTTCGGCTTTTCTCATTTTTAGCAGAACTTCCTTTGATGCTTTAGTATTATCATGTTGAACTACGCCATCTGCATTTAATTCTATCTACAAAACAGGGCATATTCTTAATTTCATTTTCTGATAAATTGCTTTATTATATACTAAAAGAAAACTGTGCTATTATAAAATTAACTGATTTCCTCTGCCTGCGCAGCTTTTTAAGACAGCAGGACAAAGAAATTAAGGAACTAAGAAATACCTATACAAAAGTGTAAAAATTAACGGGTGAAATCCAATGATAAATATTACTGAAGTGCTTTACACTTTTATTTATTTCTGAAAATTGAACTGGTTTCAAATTAATACTCTGCCTTTAAAGATTGACTTTGTGGTCATATACTAGAGCTACAGTTTCACATTTCCGGCAAACCTGTCTGCAATGATTCTAGGAAATTATAAAGATAGGGAAACAACACAGCAAAACCACACAGAATTAACTCATGGCAATCTCACAACAAAACTGCTCCAAAGGCCAATGACTAACTAGAATTATCCTGTTGATTACTTCATATCTGGAGATAGAACCAGAACACAAACACTGCAACAACTCACACAACTACTGAAATAATGAGTTACACAGCCACAGTAATAAGTTTTCCCAATTAAATGTTTACAACACCTTCTACTTGAAGAGTATCCTTCATCAATCAACTGATGTTTTAAAGTGTAATCTAAGACTATACACCATGGATGTTGTTATAGCATAACATTTTTAAGGACACTGTAGACTGCACTACTGTAAGTAAGAAGGACAGTTATCATTACCACATAAAACTTTAGGAAGCAAGAATAAAGTGTCCGTACACACTGCAATATATGTTTCAGATATGACCGGTTATCATTGTTCAAAGGGGAGAAAATGAGAGGGGGAGAGCACAGCTTTTAATGCCATATGTGCTATATGCAAACAAACTATGACCCAAGTGACTGATCATGATGTCTTGTCTTCATGTGAGGCACTAGCTCCTGCATCTTACTGAGGTCTCATGGCATAACTGTGCAACCCCTGTGCGAGACAGTGGCTCCCTAACCCTTTCCTATTGAAACCCAATACAACCTACTACACAGAGGCAAGAAGCAGCTATCCTACTGCTACAAGCAGGCAACATCTCGCAGTTTCAGTCAGGTTTCTGCAAGTACAAAGAGGCACTGATGTATCACGCTCATTGTAAATTACCTCTGCAGCACTTGCAAAAACTCAGCAAGAACTACTGCTCATGAGAGGCAGCTGATTGCCTCTGTCTCGCATCTTCATGAGGCTGCAGCTTATCCCATGTATCAGTAAGGATCAGCTTGCTAAAGAATTGGCATAACATTGAATATCACTCTGTTTCAGTCCCTGCTCGGTATGAAGCATCTAGTACGTTATGTGCTGGTTTTGAAAAACATCTCACAAATAGTCATCTGCTTTAGTGTACTGAAGACTGCTAGCAGGCCCTTACTGAAGACTGCTAGCTAGCTCAGCATCAAATTAACATCAGAATTCTTTGTAAAGATGTACCTGGTGCAGGTTTGTATCCTCTACACTTTCAGTATTTAACATATTCTTTGAATGACCTCCACCTGAAATGAAAATGAAAAACAGAAAGAAACCAGAATTGAAAAGAGACCGTAATTCTTTACTTTACATATATACCACCTTGTGTCCACAATCTTGTGTGTAACAGTACTTACCACATTTAATCCAGACAGATTATCAAGCCATAAGGGCTTTATTAGAATCTAAACCATATCAACATATAAAATATATATTAAAGTCTTTGTGATTTGATATAAAATCAAAAGTTTGATCTTTGTTGCAGATGGCATCTTGTACAAACCAGGACAGGTGAGAGTAAAGTATGACAATAGGCTTCCAAATTTTTTTGAAGATTAGTGACCTGAGCAATTCTTTTTGAAACTTAGAAGAGCTACTACATTTCCCTAACTTCTAACAGGCTTCCCTGATCCCCAAGAGACTCTTCTGAAGCCGGTGATGGTGGGACGGTAGCCTAGCTTACATCCTTCCCTGTATAGTGTATTTGGGCAGGGAAAGGGATGGAGTAGCTAAAGCCAAGTCATTGGTGTAAAAATAGGCAAGGATCTTCCCCAGCACCAATTCAGTGCCTTGCTGGTGGTGCAGCTACCCTGTGTGCTGACAAAATGGCATAAAAAGAGTATAGTAGCTACCAAGATCTTACTCTAGATATTAATATACTTACTTAATCCATGCAACTCTATGCATTTACTTCTGGCCAATATGTTCTTAAACCTAGACTAGCCATACCACATTGAAAAAAATCTAGCTCATCACCCTTTGTTATTTTGTACTGCAACATGAACCCCAGCCCTCTAGGATGCAGCCAACAACCCACGTTGGAACCAGCCTTAAATTTAACAGGCATTTCATAGCATGGCAGCTCTTTCTCCACCACTTCAGGGAATCTGGCATGCCAGATGTTAACTCTAGCCTTAGGATCATGGTTAGTCCACCGGATCCTGCCAGTCTTAGTCCTAAATTAAGCCCAATGGCTGAACTATTGAGCACTGATTAAACCAAACCCTAATCTAAACCATAATTTTGAACATATTTTTAGCCCGTCAATCTTTGTAAGGCTCAGAATATCTAGATGACCTTTGGTGGCTGCAGCCCTAACCTCTAATCATGGGACCTCCCAAATACAGGAGTCCCTGACAGGCTAATCTCTTACGGTAGCGTTAACCTTGGTTTCACTCACATTTGACGCCAGTAACTCCTGCCTACTTCTACTGCCCTGACTCTAAACTTACGGAAACATAGAATTATAGAATGGTTTGGGT